TCATTTATATACAATTACATTTTAATTCTTTTTTCTTTTTTTTTTCTTTTAATTTCGTAAGAGTTAAATCAATCTCATTACTGGGGCTCGTTTAGTATAGTTTACCTGTGAGGGTGCAGGGGATGAGAGGGATAGGTGGAACCAGGTGAGTGGGATAGGGTGAGGGTGGGGTGAGAGGGGGTGGGGTGAGGGATGGATGGGATAGGTGAGTGGGATAAGGGTGAGGGATGGTTGGGATAGGTGAGAGGGAGGGATTGGGGTGAGGGGAATGGGAGGTTAGTGGGATGGGGGTGAATGATGGGTGGGATAGGTGAGAGGGAAGGTTAGAGGAGAATAGGGTGATTATAATATTCAACTCTATAAACTAACAACACGAATAAATATATGATAGATTACCTAACTCTTCATGATATCAAAGATGCTCCGAGTAACATCAAAAGCACATCATTTTATACATAAGATTCATCGAAATACCCGGCCCCCTGCTGCCCCCCCCCCCAAAAAAAATAAAATATATATAAACTTTGCTGTCGGTGGAAAACACACACACACACACACACACACACACACATAAAAACGTTTAATTAACCCAGAGGAAAATTGTGTGTTACGTTCGTGAAGAAATCTGGTCGACGACGCGTGAAACCTTGCTTAAAAACTGACCCCCCTCCCACCCCCCCCCCCACACGCCCCCCACCCCCCCACGCCCCCCCCCCACCCCCTCCTCCACCCCCCACACACCTCCACCCCACCCTCTCCTCCTTAAAAAATATATATAATAAAAATAGGAAAAAAAAATGAAAATAGAAAAAAAATAATTGAGTGAGGTTTAGTGGCCAGATTGTTTTAAGTTTCGTTCAGTATTTTGTATTTATTTATTTATTTTGTTAGTTTTGTTTACCTTGACCTCTTAATTGACCTGTAATATATACTGTATATGAGAGAGTGATCCTGTAAACACCCCCCTGCTGTACTACCAACCATATCTACTGTACTTTTCGCAGCAGGAAATTACAGCCACCTCTTCCCTCCTCCCCTTCCCTCCTCCTCCTCCCTCCCCCCTTTTTATGGAAATAGGTTACGAGAAGAATTTATCCCAATTTGAATCAGAACCGGTTGGAACGGCAGCCGGAAGTGATGTACATGTGTGTGTGTGTGTGTGTGTGTGTGTGTGTGTGCGTATGTGTGTGCGTGTGTGTGTGTGTGTGTGTGTGTGTGTGTATGTGTGTGTGTGTGTGTGTGCACTAAACTACGTCCTTCTTGACTCTCCTGGTCACCACACGCCGTCAGCCTGACTTATTTCTTTAAAAATTCCTGTCCGTAAACGATTTACATACGGAAACGTAAATCAACCGGCAGCCGACCCCAAGAGAATGAAAAAAGTTAACAAATCAAAAACTAAAAACAATGTAACAAAAAAAACGAAAACCGTAAAGAAATGAATAAAAATAAATGGAAACAAATGAAATAAATAAAAAACTGGTGAGCGAGAGATGTTGGCCATACCAGACATGACCTACACACACACACACACACACACACACACACACACACACGTACATCACTGAAGAGTTGTAATAATAAGAACTATATGTGGGGGGGGAGGGAGAGTCATTCAAAATAAAACATAATTACTCTCATTTACCTTCTACTATCAATATCTGGTCGTGTAAATACAACTTAATCCTACTCTTACTTTTGCTCTCTCCTCTTGATTCTTATCTAGTGAGGCTGGTGATTAGACCATACAGGAAATCTATACTGAATACCCCTTCTTTTTCCCCCCAACATTGTTATTAAATTTACAATGAGACGTTCTGAGTGTCGTTCTGATTGGAGTTCTGAGTGGCGTTCTGAGTGGCGGCCTAATTGACGTTCTGAGTGGCATTCTGATTGGTGTTCTGAGTGGCGTTTTGAGTGTCGTTCTGATTGACATTCTGAGTGGCGTTTTTTTTATCCAGTTGTCGTCTATGTTAAAAAAAAAAGATATACCTATTGTGATATTTTTCAACACAGACTCACTTCATGTCTTTATTTATTTATTTATTATTTTTTTTTTGTAACCTGATTGTTGTCTGTATTGAATTGATTGTATTATTATGGTTAAAAAAACAGTATTGTGGGTTAGTATTGTTCCTGGGTGTGTTGGCTGGGATATATATATTTCACCTGTGTTTTGTTTGTTCTTTAGTTCTGTGGTGTATTGTTCGTGTTCTTGTTCTTCCCCTTGTTCATTTATCTAGTCTTGTTCCTGTCCTTCATCGTCTTCACCTCTTCTTGTTCTTCATGTTCGTGTTCTTGTTGTTCTTGTTGTTCATCATCATCATTTCTTTCTTGTTCTTGTTCATCAGTGTCATCATTTCTTGCTTTTGTTCTTTTTTCTTCTTGTTCTTATTGTTGTTATTATTATTATTATTATTATTATTATTATTATTATTATTATTAGTAGTAGTAGTAGTAGTAGTAGTTGTAGTAGAAGTAGTAGTAATAATGTCGTAAGAAACATACCATGAAATAACAAATAAAACAATTAACTTTTAATTCACAAGAACAAACAACAAAAACAGTAAACAAAGAAATATTTTTTTTACCATACAACATTAATAACAACTAAATCCCAAGGGAAAAGTATATAGAGAAAGTATTATCTCTATAAAAATATATGGACAAAAAAACTTTATATAAGAGTGTGAAAACTTTGAGCAGAAGCCAGAAAGTTTATGAAAGTAACAAAAACTTTTGACCATGAATCCTGACAGAAAGACTAAAATATATATGGAATTGAAGTTTAACTCAAAGATGTCAAGAAGTTGTAAAATAAATCAGGGGGAGATGAGGGGGGGAGACACACACACACACACACACAGACAGACACACACAGGCGAACTGAACAGACACACACACACACACACAGACACGAACAGACAGACGAACAGACACACACACAGACACAGACAGAACACACACACACACAGACACAGACAGACAGACAGACAGACACACACACACACACACACACACACACACACACACAGACACACACAGACACAGTCACACACACACACAGACACACACAAACACACACACACACACACACGAACACAGACACACACACAGACACAGTCCACACACACACACACACACACACACACACACACACACACACACACACACACAGACAGACAGACAGACAGACAGACAGACACACACATTCACACACACACACAGACACACACACACACACACACACACACACACACACACACACACAGACAGACAGACAGACAGACAATTGAACAGACACACACAGACAGACACACGAACACACACACACACACACACAGACACACACACACAGACACACACACACACACACAGACACACACACACACACACACACACGCACACACACACACACGCACACACACACACACACGCACACACACACACACACACGCACACACACACACACAGACACACACACACACACACAGACACAGACACACACACACAGACAGACAGACACACACACACACACACACACACACACACACACACACACACACACAGACACACACACACACACACACACAGACAGACAGACACACAGACACACACACACACACACAGACACACACACAGGTACACACACACACAGAGACACACACACACACACACACACACACACACACAGACAGACAGACAGACAGACAGACAGACAGACAGACACACACACACACACACACACACACACACACACACACACACACACACACACACACACACTCGTTTCATGGGTCTCCAAACTGTGTAAAAATTTTATTCGTCCAATTTTGTTCTTTTTTTATATGGTCGTCCCAGACTATACGACCATGGTCTTATGGTGCGATGGCTGAGTGGATACATCCCTCACGTCCTCTCCTTGGGGACGCTGGTTCGATTCAGGGGTTACTCTCAGTCCACCCAGGTGTAAATGGGTACCTAGGTCTATAAATTAGGGTTAGTGTAGGTAGTTGGAGTGTAGTACCGATAATATTGTCTCCTTGTGTACCGACGGCTCAGTATATACCTGTAGTGTGTTGTATATGTGGTATATTTAATGGACCTTCGTGCCTATTATAGGAGAGTCGGGTCTTATAGTATAGGACCCGACGACTTTCCTTTTCACTGTGCTATGAGGTGACCACAAGACACGAACTTACTCGGTTTTCATACTAGTGTTAAATACTTTGGTATGTCTCTCCCTAATCTCCCTCAGTCTATATCTCCCTAATCTCCCTCACTCAATCTCCCTAATTGCTCTCTCTCTCTCTCTCTCTCTCTCTCTCTCTCTCTCTCTCTCTCTCTCTCTCTCTCTCTCTCTCTCTCTCTCTCTCTCTCTCCCACCCACCGGAGAGGAAGAACACTGTTACCACCCCAAAGGAGGAGAATAGTGTGTTGATGATGGATGACACACAGGGGAGGAATATGGTAACACTGTTTTCTCGTTTTCATGGGTTTTTTTTTATGAGAATCCAATTATCTGGTGGGGTCTCTCGCGCGTCTGGCAACATTACCTCACCACATACTTGGTTACATTGTTCTTGTTCATATCTGGTAACAGTGATTTCCATTTTCCTTATTTTTTTTTTTACAATCCATTTATATTACATTTTTCCCTTGTCTGGCTATACTGTCTTGTCTTATAATTGTCTGTGTTGTTCTCTCTCTCTCTCTCTCTCTCTCTCTCTCTCTCTCTCTCTCTCTCTCTCTCTCTCTCTCTCTCTCTCTCTCTCTCTCTCTCTCTCTCTCTCTCTCTCTCTCATATATCTTCTATAATATATTTACCCCCAAATATCTAATATCCTTCAATGCATTCATTATTTACTCTCAACAAACCAATAACTTAACTAATTATGGTAACTAAGTATTCATCCATCCTTCACCCTCCAGTAACGTCCATATCTTAACTCATCCATCCTTGAGCCTTCATCCATATCCTAACTCTTTACCTCCTGCAGGATGCCGAGGGGAGGGAGGATGTCCGCCTCCTACCCACACCTTCAACTTCTCCCTCCTGCCTGTTGCTGACCCGACCGACCAAGTCCAGGTTAGTTCTCTCTTGGTTCCTTCGTTGTTGTCGCTGTCGTTAACTTGTGAGGGAGTACTGAACGAGAGAGAGAGAGAGAGAGAGAGTCGAACAGTGATGGAATGAGAGGGAGAGAGAGGGGGGGTAGTGAGTGGGAGAGAGACAGAGAGAGAGGGGAAATGAGAAAAGGTTAGATAGAGAGAAAGAAAAGATTAATTATGGAAGAGAAAAAGAAAAAGGTGAAAGATAGAAATAAGGGAGAGAGAGAGAGAGAGAGAGAGAGAGAGAGAGAGAGATGAGACAATGAGACAAAAGAAAGAGAAATAGGGAGAATGAATGATAATAAATAAGGAAATGAGAGAGAGGGGGGGAGATATGACCCCCTTTTTAACCTCTTGAGTAGGACAAAATATACTAATACGATAACTCTGATAACCCGTGTACGATAGAGTGTCTGTGTACGATAACTTTGATAACCCGTGTACGATAGAGTGTCTGTGTACGATAACTTTGATAACCCGTGTACGATAGAGTCTCTGTGTACGATAACTCTGATAACCCGTGTACGATAGAGTGTCTGTGTACGATAACTCTGATAACCCGTGTACGATAGTGTGTGTACGATAACTTTGATAACCTGTGTACGATAGAGTGTCTGTGTACGATAACTTTGATAATCTGTGTACGATAACTTTGATAACCCGTGTACGATAGAGTCTCTGTGTACGATAATTTTTATAATCTGTGTACGATAGGTGTCTGTATTTTCCTGCTTTGATAGCCCGTGTACGATAGAGTCTCTGTTATTTACGATAACTCTGATAACCCGTGTACGATAACTTTGATAACCCGTGTACGATAGAGTCTCTGTGTACGATAACTTTGATAACCCGTGTACGATAGAGTCTCTGTGTACGATAACTTTGATAATCCGTGTAACATGTTGCCGGTGTACGATAATCATTAGGTATTTCACATGTGTTGCCATCAAGTGAGTTATTGAATACTCGTTGTTGTCGTCAGTGAGCGGTTGCCATGGAGACGGTGTAAACACTCGCCTGGAGGAAGCAAACGATTACTGTCATGGTCGTGTGACTGACTTCTACTCAGATACTGTGGAATAAATTTTTTTAAAGGTTAGAAAAGTAATTAACGAGGTTTTTTTATCTGTTGTAGTCATGATGATGATGGTGATAATAGAAAAGAATGATAGTAATATTAATGATTTGTTATTATTATTATTATTATTATTATTACCATCATCTTGATCTACCCAACACCTATACAGTAGTTTCTCTCAGACCCACCATCACTGTAGACCCGCCCCATATAACTACACTACTACAGCCAGCTCAAAATATACACGTAAACCCTTGGATAGTAATGTTATGTAGCGAGCATCTTACTACATAATCCTTCGTCGTTCATTTGTGACTTATTTTACCGGGCGCCTTTGTGGTGGGAGAGAGAGAGAGAGAGAGAGAGAGAGAGAGAGAGAGAGATACTAGGCGGTGCTAAGAGACAAGTGTGACCATGAGATACCTGTCACCTGTCACACCTGTATACAGTATCTTGTCAACACCCAGTCACCAAAGACACCCATTGCTCGGTTCAGTAACTGGTCTAGTACATGTATTAAGAATTGAGAGCTAACGACCTCACGATATCTGGCTATGGTGATTAAACACTGATCGTAATGATAAAATAAACCTTGCGATATCTACAATACTTCCACGATTACGGACAATATTCCTTCTATTGTGTATATATAAAAACTGCAATACTAACACTACTTATATCTACAATTACTAGTTTACGTATATACTCATAACTACTACTACTACTACTACTACTACTACTACTACTACTACAATAACGATAATCTGTTTTTATTTAAGTACTGATCCGGATAACGTAAGTGTGTGATATCAGAAACAAATTAACGGAATTCTGAGGCGTGTTCAGAGGACAAATTCGGATAAAGATTTATGGGTATCCGATAAACGACGCCACCCCCTCCTTCCCTTTTCTCCCTTCCCCCTCATTTCCTCTCTTCCTCCCCCCGTTTTCGTGAGGAGGTTTCTATCGGGATTATTGTAACTCAGGCCAACCGTTCTCGAACAAGGAATCCTCTGATAATCCTAAATCCGGATTCAAGTACAGAGAACGGCAATTTTGCTCTCGGTCACAATAATGTATAGGTGTGTTGGTCGGCGACTCTGTAGGAACGTGGAGGAATGTGAGGCAAACGGTCAGGGCGGTTCAGGGACGGTTCAGGTACGGTTCAGGGACGGTTCAGGGACGGTTCGAGACACTGTGGGATGACGGTATTCCAAAGCCGCAAGGAGAGAAATCTGGAACCGGATTCTCAAGTGACTTTAACCTCAATTCAATTCCCGGTCACTGGCGGGGAGGTGGTCAGATAACTCCCTCGATACCGTATTATCCGTGTACCATTATTAACGTTGAAGAGCTTATAATGAATGAGCTAATTACCGTACATACGTTCATACATACCTGAGATACGTTCATACATACGTTCATTCATCTCTAACTAAACTAAGATGAGGTGTCCTTATTTACGATCCGATTACATTTTAACCTGGAGATGTATCGTGGTATCGGGTGACCTGGAGATGTATCGTGGTATCGGGTGACCTGGAGATGTATCGTGGTATCGGGTGACCTGGAGATGTATCGTGGTATCGGGTGACCTGGAGATGTATCGTGGTATCGGGTGACCTGGAGATGTATCGTGGTATCGGGTGACCTGGAGATGTATCGTGGTATCGGGTGACCTGGAGATGTATTCATTATCTTGGCTGTTTCTTTCATAAGTTCTTAACGTTGTATTTTCTTCATACTTGGGTCGTTAATTTTTCCCATTTTCCGAGTCGGTAAGTTTAATAATACCTGTATGAGTCTTGTTGTAACGTGTTCATCCTTTGGTGTTAGTTTAGGTTGAATTGGGTTAGGTTAGGTTATGGTTGGGTTGGGTTACGTTAAGTCAGGTTAGGATAGGTTAGGTTAGGTTAGGTTAGGTTAGGTTATTTTATTTATCTTTTTATCTTTATTTCTCGACTTCGTTATCTTTTTATTTTCTTTCTCACTTTCATAATACTTATCATTCCATCTTTCTCTTTTATTTTCTTTCTCACTTTCATAATACTAATCATTCCGTCTTTCTCTTTTATTTTCTTTACTTCATCTTTTTAATCAAGCTTAGACACGCTCCACAGCCAGAATTAAATACCACAAGTTTTGTAATGTACTACTCACTAACTTGTAACCTCATGGCGGCAAAACTTCGGCAGGTTTAGCATAACGAGACATTAAAGATGGCCGCTGAGGTAGCCGCACGCCACTGAAAAATGTCTCAGGGTAGCCACATACCACTGAAAATTATCTCTTTGTTTTGGTTTGTGTAAGGTGACCACACTCCACTGAAAATTGTCTTAAAGTAGCCACATACCACTGAAAATTATCTCAAGGTGACCACACTCCACTGAAAATTGTCTTAAGGTAGCCACATACCACTGAAAAATATCTCAAGGTGACCACATACCACTGAAAAACGTTTTTACATTCACCCTTACCTATTAATTTAGATATAACATTCACAGACCCCAACTATAAAACATTCATAGATACGTAAAAAAAAAACATAATTCACACATTAAAATAAAACATTCATAAAATTAAAACATTCACATAGGAAACTTTAAACATTAGAACATTCACAAATACCTTACAAATAAAGAGTAAAAGATAAACAAACAAACATAAGCAAACACACATAAGGGGGCAGCTCAGGTGGACAAACAAACACACGTAAACATCACAACACACTGACAAAACTCCACTATAAATGTTTACATGCACAAATGAACGCTGTTAATCTCCACGCACACACACACACACACACAAAATACTACTGTTGTTTCACTCGCTGTCTGTCAAACTGCCCATCAGACTGTTCATCAGAATGTCCATCATCAAATTATCTATCAGGTTGGCTTATCAGGGTTTTGTGGACCCGTCAAATTGTCCATCAGAATGGCCAGCCGTGAATTACACTCGTTAACATGTCACACTGTCCAATCAGAGTTACGGTTGAGGCTAATCATTTACAAATGTGGGATAATCAGATTTACCTACTAGATGATTACACTTGACCTATCAGAATAGCTAATTAAGAGTTATACCTGAAACCCTCCTTTGCCTAGCCAATCAGAGAATAATACATCTGAAATCCCATTAGCCTTGACAATCAGAGAATTACACTGATGGGCTCCTGATATCCCAACTAAACTTGCCAATCAGAGGAGCTATGCCTCTTAGAGACTCAGACTATGGGTATCAGAAAATAATACTTCACTGCCCATCAGACAAGCCAATCAGAGAGTTTTGGTCCGGGAAAGAACTATTTTAGGAGTAACTGGATTTTTTTTATAGGTCAGGTCAGAGTATCAGGTCAGTCCCGGATCCTACAGAGCCCTCATTACCCACCCCTTAAACCCTTACCCTCCTCCCCTTACCCCTCCCTTTACCACCTCTCTCGCCTCCCTTACTCCTTACCCCCTCTCTCACCCCCCTTACCCCTATCTCTTAACCCCTTTCCCTACACCCACCTTACCCCCTCTCCCTACACCCCCCTTACCCCCTCCCCCTACACCCCCCTTACCACTTACCCACCTTTCTCTCCCTTATTTTTTTTATAGAATTTCCGCCAGTTTTTGAAATGTCCTAAACTGGGTAACCGAAGACAATCAGGAAATTTAGGCCAATATGGGGAAATCAGAAGCCTTGTGAGCCTATCAGATTGTTTAAGTTGGGTTAGGTTAGTTTGGTTGGGTTAAGGTAAGTTTTGTTAGGTTCGCATTGACCAATTATAAATGCATTAGCTACGCATCAGAATCAATCTCTGGCAGTAGGGGGAAAGGAGGAGGGGAGGGGGGCGAGTTGACCCTCCGACCCTTACGAGGCAACTGACGTTCGCTTATGTCTGCCGCACTATTTAT